GCTTCTCGGCTTACACACAAGACGACAACCGCAAATCCGCAATTCGGGCTGGTGGGAGCTCAGCGGTTTCCATGGCGACCGCTCGCCGGCATCGCAGCGTCCGTTGCCACGGAGCGGAATCGCGCCGAGTGGAAGCCGTTTTCGTTATCGACGCGCGCCGCTGCATGCGAGCGAGCGCGCGCGCGAGACCTCACATCCGGAGCGAAGCGCGCATCTCGTTTGTCGCTGTTCCAACGCGGAAGAGACGAAACGGAACGCGTGGGAAAGGGGAGAGGAGGGGTGTTTGCTTAGAAAGATTCGTTGGATTATACGAGTCACCGGGCACGTTGATTGTTACACGGGTTTATGAAGGTCTGAAATACAACAGAATGAGTTATGACGCTACGTGTTGCAAATATTATACATTACGATACATTAACGAAGTATGAGAAACTCGATACATAATTTAATATTGGTATCTGGAAATTATCTTTGTAAAACATAATATTTAGTACTATCTTTTCTCAATTTTTAGTACTAACGCACTAAAAGGCTGTTTTCGACTGCTTATTAGCATACATCAACAACACATAGAAGTATTACACCATAGAGAAATTGCGTGAAAAAAATATACAAAATCAGGAAAATAATTAATATTGTTCGAAATCATAGAATTCGATATAGAAAAACCGGCAAAACTTAATTGCCTAATTTATTACGAACCATTGCTATGATTTTATGATAATTTATTTCCATTGTATTAACTATATTGTTAACTCATGCTAGCTCACTCCGTACAATTTTATTGGAGAATTCCTCCACAGTTGTTAATACTAATACTGATTTATTTTGAAAATCACATAATTTTTTGGAAATTGTACACCAACTTCACCTTTCCAATCATTTTAAACTAAATAAACAGTATCATTGCGAATTTTTTAAAATAATTTAATTATCAAGTAATTTAAGTTGAAACACGCTGACTTCAAAGCACATTTTACTCAACGCTTCGTCTTTTACTCAACCGAAAGTAAATAAACATAATTATTGCCAAAAATATTAACATGGGGAATTTCTGCATTTTAAAAATATTTTAAATTGAAAGCAATTGGGCTCAATAAAGCTCACTACAATGTAGATACAGAAAGAAACTTATCATTGATTAAACTAAGATATCAAATTAATTTTACAGCTTTCTGGGAGGCGAGGCAACGCTCCGACAGGATGGAGTAAATTAGAACATTTGGTACACATATTGTACAGGCAGAAAATAAAGATACTGAGTGGTCTGAAAATTAATATCTAAATGACAGTTGCGCGTCAAATAGCAAAGTTACGACTGATGTTTGACTTGCAGAAGCACAGTGACTGATGCATTTAGTGAAAACGAACAAACAGGAGAACTTGGGCAAGAACGAAGAACAGTTATAGGTTTCAACAGTAAAGGTTTCACTTTTCGAAGTTCGCCAGTGAAAGTCAATCGAGTAGTTGTTCATTAAATACTAATATAAGCGGATCTACTTTACCTCCTTTTCTTCCAAAGCTGATGATATTCAGTAATCTTCCGTACATGTTTCATGTCACAATCATGTTCTCGAATGGACGTTAATGAGAATACTTATCACATTTCAGATATCAGAAGCACAAACATTCACTTGTATCACACACACTGAAAAAAATCACCGGCACCCACTAATCATCACTTTCAACACGAAACACCAAGTCGATTCGCTGTGTATATCATCGTATTAAAAACAAACATTTCCCACTCTCGCACTGCATTTAAACTCATTCGCCCGAACGTGAATGCACTGGAAAGAACATAATAAAACGGAACGGAAAAGGAAGTTTATCGAAAAACAATAACCGCCTTATCTAACGGTAAGTCGTCACTTTCGTAAAAGAGGAAAGAAATAAAAGAAGGTGTCGGCGCGCTCGCACGTGCACTCGGCGGAAGCAAAACAAACGTGGAGGCACTCGCGTGGGTTTGTCCCATCGATGCGGACGCACACGAGACTGACCGCTCCACCACGCCGCGCGCCGCGGCGGTGGCGCTGGCGGCGGCGAAGACGGATGTTGCCGCTGGCGGGCGCGGCCGTGGCCATGACGTCCGCGGTTCCTCCCGCTACCTTTGTTAAACGAAGGCCGCTGCCCAACGACAGCACAATACACGCGCCATGGACCGAGGCGTTCAATTGGAATGCTCGCGTCTGCAATCAAGGTCACTCATGGGGACCGATTCAGTATCAAGATGTCGAACAAGGTCACTCATGGGGACCGATTTAGTATCAGGATGTCAAACAATTTCTATTCACACAGCAGCCAAATCGAACACACATCCCGATTCAACCTTGCTCAAACCTCGGATTCCTGGCCAAAATATTTAAAAAAGGTTCCCGGTACAACCAGTTTTGAACATCCAGCGCCAGCTAGGGAATAAGTGAGGAACTTCCTTAACCATGCGTAGTTAGAATAAGTAAGTTAGTACGTTAATATTAAGCCGCTAAAAATCACTTATGTAAAAGTGCTACAGTACTGACTTGTGTACTTTATTATCCAATAAATACAAAATGAAAATGAAATGAAAATGGTCTCCCTGCGAAGTCCGATGAATTACTAGGAGTTATCCAATCAAATTAAAACACTATCCTCAAAAATAAAAAAAAATTGATGCTGATATGTGTTTTACATTATAACGTTACGCTATTCATTGGATTATTTTTTATTATAACATCCAGAACAATCATAAAAAGTATTGAGATATGAAGAATTTAAAGAAATAAGGATTGATAACTCCATAATGCGATTGTCAACGACCTCTAAAGAAACATATTTTAACCTCCGGAGAACCTTTGTCTTGACACTTATGTAATTGACTATAATGAGGTAGTTTTATTGCTTCATATCACAAACAATTGTTTGTTACCGTTACTAACTACTTTTAATTAATACGTCATATTACGTGTGAAACTGAAGATGCTAAATTGTTTGGCAAACATTCGTTTACAGCCATTTAGCAGTTCTTCGTTAGCTATGACGAAGTCCTTTATTCACACTTGTCTCCATGGAATATCAGGAAGAATTGAGACAATAAATTCCCACATTTTTCCAAACATTTCGCCGAAAAGAATAGAATATCTACAGTGTTTACAGTGTTTCATTATAGAAATACTGCTTGTCGCTTTCAACACCGTCTCTAACATTTCAAAGTTAAAAGTTAAAAATTTTTATTTCTCGTTTCCTGGACCTCTCGTGAAGCTTCAAGCTTCTTTTACCTTCAGTACAGAAGTGTAATTTAAAACATATCACGCTACTTTCATCATTATAATTGTAAAACCACGTCTATTATTTAAAAAATGGAAACATATGTCAATCAAGCCATTTAAGTAGGAACTATTAGAGTGCATTATAAGAAAAGAGTGTAACGTATAATTGGTTATTTTTATTTAAAAATAAATTAAGGCAAGAATATTTTCCACTTTCATTGAATAATAGGAATTATATTTACAGTTTTGTTCTTATTTCGGGCACGTTTGGGGCGCATCAGCTCACCACATCACTCTGATTGAGTGAATGAGCGAGTGTTTCGTCTTTCCGGCGGCGTCAAAAACTTTGATCATTAGTGTCGTGAGTGTAGTGCATGTTACTACCGGGATGTGGCAGTGTTCCTCCTGCGCTGGGACGTGAGTTCGTGGTAATTTCCTCCCAAGGTACGTATATCTGCTCCCATCGGGACACCCACCACGGGGTACCCAGATCTAAGTTCCCGACCGATCTCCGAACAAGTGTGATACAAGGGTCCCAACAAGGGTGAGGATAGGGCAAGAAGGGGAAAGAAAAGAGGTCACATTTGATGTGTGGCCCGTTCGTTACGGTGCTGCTCCGGCAACCGTCTGGTGTTGATCGAAGAAACCACAAAAAACTACCGATCGGAGCGTCCAGCAGCTAGATTTCGCGACTTCTAGGCTGTCCGGGTGACGCCGCGTCGTCGGCAGAGAGGCCAACGGCTGCCTCTCAACCAACGACGCGGCGTCACCCGGACAGCCTCAAAGCATGAACGCGAGTCGCGGACGCCTACGTGTACAGCTAGATTTCTCCTCCAAACAGCCTATGAACTCGACCTCGCTTTCTAGCTACTGTCCAAAATCCTCCCACCGTCAGGACTTGAAACGTAGAGCGTCCAGGTCGGAGTCGCAGGAGTGGCAACAGTTGTGTCCTGAGCCATCCCAGCCGGAGCCCCGATTGAAACAAATGCAACGATGTTATTATCTGCAGCGGCTGCTTTAAAAGGCAGTAAGCGCCGTCGCAGGCGCAGGAGGAGACCTTGGATTAAGGCAGGCGCCAACGCGCCGCGCCGCGCCGCGGGGTCCTGAGCACAGACGGTCTTTCTTCCCGCCCCGGCCGGCGGCGGGGCCCCGGCGCAGCAGGCCGCGGCGCAGGGCGGCCTTGGGCGCGTGTTTTGCTTTTAGTGCTGCGGGATCTGGGGACGCGACGCGTGCGCCAGGGAAATTGCATTTTAATCCGGGAGTCTGCCTCGTAGAGAGCGCGCAACGCGACCTCGGGCGGGCTCAGCGGAGTCCCCGCGTCGCGGGTGGGAGTGGAGGCGGCGGCGACGACGACGAAGCCGGCGGCGGTAAAAAGGGAGATTGATCGCAGTTTAAAAGCAGGGCGGGGTCGGAAGCGGCAAAGCGGGGGTGTGAGTAGAGAGATGGGTGGAGAAGGGAATGCGATTGATCGGGACGAAAGGGTGATCAGAACAAGGCGTGGTAGGGCCGGATATGTGCGGCGAGGCGGGAGGAATGAGGGGGGGCGGGGGGTGAAGTGTACGGGGGTGGGGAAGGTGAGGAAGTTGGGGAGACGAGTAGATCGGGCCAATATTGGTGGGAAAGGGAGAATGGAGGGACGCGATGAAGAGGCACGAGGTGGTGAATGGAGTAGCTAGGAGAGTGAGCTGGGCTTTGAGAGAGAGAAGTGCGGGGGACATGGGCGGAGGCTGAGGCAGAGTGGTGAAACTGAACACGCGGGTCGCGGAGGGAGGACAGAGGAGCCAATCGGAGTGGGTGATCGACAGTGATTGCGAGCGCGTCAACTGCTGTCATTAGTCCCGTAAGCGTATAGCATGCATTTTCATCGAGGGACGGCGGTGATTCTCCCGCTGGATGGCGAGATTCAGCGCCAACCTACCGTTGGCTAGCGGGGTTTTCCCAAACAGGAATCTCCCACCAGACGGGACAAGCTCTGAGCTCCTGGCCGGTGTCTCAACGAGCGTGTTAGAGTAGAGGATGCGTTTGTAATTAAGAGGTGAGGATAAGACAAGGATGATGAAGGAAAGATCGCGCGCGGTCTATGGCCCGTTTGTGAGGGTACTGCTCCGGCATTCGCCTGATTCTGATCGGAGAAACCACGCAAAACTACCCATCAGACCGAGTGGGGTGGGAATCAGTAGAGCGGGAAGAAAATAAAGAGCAAGGGCCAGGGATGAGAAGAGTGGAGTGGGGATAAGTAGAGCGGGGTAGGGCTGAGAAGAGCTGTGCTGAGCGGGGTAGGGTGGGGTGGAATTGGGCAGGGCAGAGCTGAAATGAACAGGGTGGAGAGAGGCAGGAAGGGGAAGGGCGTTGCTGGCGGGGAGGGGAAGGGGCAGAGCGGGGCGGGATGAGGCAAGCGGAGCCGAGATGAGCAAAAGCGCGGCGGGGTTATGTGAGGCAGGGTGCAAGACGGTATTGAATCATGTGAGGAGGCAAGGAGGAGCAGGCCGGCGAGAGGCGGAGCAGGATTAAGCTGGGCGGGACGAGACGAGACGGGACGAGATCTCCGCTCGGCTTTTACGAGGCAGCTTTTCCCAGTGAGGTTTAATAACTTCCTGGGCTTTGATGAATGGGGCGGAACCACGTGGCGGGACGCCGCAGAGCAAAAGTGTACCGTGAAACGTGAGTAGGGATATTTTTGTGTTAGCGCCCTCGCCGTTGCGGAGATCACTGAAGAGGAGAACAGCGTAGATGGCAGAGTGCTTCATTTAGAACGTTTTCCATTCCCCATCACTGGAACACACTTTGTGTGCACTCAGAAAACAATCGTTTCATTTGATCGGTAGGGCGCGAAAGTGCAAAAGGCCGCTTATTTCATTCGGACAATATGGAGACTTTGCAAGTCGTGAATTTAAAAGAAGTAACACGACAATTCTGGATAGTAACTTCTGCGCATGCTCTGGCATCCAATGGGCGGATTTCCACTGACCGGCTCCGTCATTTAACTCCATCTTTTTGACGTCTACGACAAGTGTGTTCATAGCTTACCCTTTACGTACAGTTTTCGCCGTCACCACTAAACACGAATTCGACAATTGAATACAATAAGCATGGAAATAATGAAAAATAAAATATCCATAGTATGAATGAATATATGACAGGAACTTTATTCTTCATTTTTACTCAAATGAATTCAAATGCGTCATGAATAAATTAATGCACTTAGAATTTCGAGGTTATTTGTATATTGAGGCTACACTGATTATAATATAAACAATATAAATATGTGTTAGTAAAATTGCGGGGTTACGTAAACTAGGAAGCTGAACTTTTGTTAGGGGATGAAGACATGTATATAACATATTTGTATACTTCAATCAATGTTTATTCATTATACGTATTACTTTCTTATAAAAATACAGTCAAAAAGTACATATTCAATAAAAGTGTTTAGGTAGTTAGAGATTTTCCGTTTAAACTAGTTCCTAGTTTTACGTATGTTTTCGATTGTAAAAACATTGTTCTGAAGATATGTTATTTTCTATTGACGACAATGATTACGT